GCGCTTCCATGCACAACTTCTCATTTCATTCTGAGAACCAAGAGCATGGGCAGATTATCCCCCCTTACAGATGAGAAATTCCCCTTCACCCTTTCTCTGTCCTCAAGAAGAGCAGTTTCCATGCTCCCTGCTTGGGCTGACGGCTACTGATCCAGCCCCGTCCCATCCCCATGGGCACGCACCCTCATCGCTTGCCCCCTGCGCTCGCCCCACGCCGCTGTTTCCCTCTGCGAGCCCTTTCCTCCCTGTGCCCGGCACACGTCCTGGCCTCCCCTCTAATAACTGACATGATAAACTTCTTTCCGTGTCTCTCCTTACCTTCTGCACCAAAGCCCTCGCTTCTCATTGATTCCTCTGACACCCAACCCTAACACGCTGTTAAGCTGCTCTTTCTAAAATCAATACCTATTCGTTGTCCAGTCCAACAGCCTCCTTCTGGCATTCGGCTTTTTGGAGGGGATGTCTGCATTGTGTGATATGGCCTTGCAACCCCTTCCTTCTTGACATTCTTACCTCTTCATCCTTCTGGTTTCCCCCTTTTTGCCACCTAACCTTTCCGTGGCTTTTACTGGCCTTTTAGAAACCCATCAAATGGTTGAGCCCCTCCCCTTTCCCTCTTGACATACTGTGCCTGGTGTCAGCCTCTCCCTTCTGTCCCGCTACCCTTGTACCTGGGTGATTGTGACATCTCTCTCCTTCAGTCATTGCTCCCTCCCGAAGACAACTCTTTCTGTGCCCTCTAGAAATCTCTGTTGGATGCCCAACAGCCCCTCAAGTCTACCAGTCTACAGCATGCAACGCCTGTGCCAGAACTGCTGTTTTCTTTGTTGTTTTGTTTTTTTTTTTTGCACTCAGATCGGGAGGCTAGAATGGGAGGGTGGGGGTAGGTGTGGCCATGGCAAGGGTGGAGGGACTGCAGCATTTCAGCTGAGGGGTACAGGTGTCTGGATCCCAGGCCATGGTAGGGGGCAGGCGAGCAAGCAAAACACATCTGACAGGTGAAAACCAAAGTCAAGGATGCAGCGAGGGGTAGAAGAACGTCTGTGAGATGAGGACAGGGAGGTTGCTCAGGATGATTCCAGGGGAGGCAGAATTGGCCCACTGTCCCCTTGTATCCTCTCTGACCTTCTTCTACAGTAACTGAATTTTTAGCTGGGCATGTGACCACACGGTGACTACTTTCCCAGACTCCCTTATAGACTGGTACAGCCATGTGGTCAAGTTCTGGCCAATGGGATGCAAGCAGAGGTGATGTGTGCAACTGCCAGGGCATGCCCTTAAATGTGGGAGCATACCCTTCTCCGTCCCCTTTCTTCTCACTGGCTAGAGAGTAGCTGTGAGGGCAGGAGCCGGGGGCACCATCTTGGGCCATGAGGTGGAAGTTTCCTGTTAAAGCAGAGCAAGAAGGGGGAGTTTGGATCCCTGATAAGAGAGAGATGAGTCTCTATCTCGTTAAGCTTCTGTTATTCTGGGTTTCTGTTACAGCTTCCAGACCTGAATGGTTGGTAATACTTGGTTTGTGCCCTTGACTAAAACAGGGGCTGTGGGGAGCTGGCCCAGCTGCTCCTTTACCCCGATGTTCCATTCTTTCCCACATGTTGTCTCTTCTCCTTCTATAAACAGCTCTTAGGTTGGTCAGATTCTTTATATTCCCTTGGCTTCTGTGTTCTTTCCTTGAGGTTATCATCCCCCCCTAGCCTGGTGCATTCAGAGGCTTCCCATTCTGGATTGACAGATACAAGCACACACAGTCGGGCATAAACACACTGCATGGCACACCTGTCTAGATCTGCGCAAGGTGTATGACTGTCAGTCACATTAGATGCTCTGGCTCCTATGTGGTCCCCATCACACGAAAGCACATGGCTTCAGAGCACACAAACCCTTTAGCACAGACCTGATCAAAGACACAGAAGCACGTATCAAGGTAGACATTTGTCAACAAACACATAGTTGTAGATTTACACATAAATCACAGCCAAAGACAAAAGCAGAGCAACTGACATGAAAACACAGCCACGGACAAATAGTTATTGAGGTCCCTGCCATTGTGAGGCAAAAAGTTGGGAGACACAGGAGGTCCCGGCCCCCAGAATTCCTTCCTGCACTCACCATGGAGGGCTCTCGGATGCACATGGAAGCATCTCTAAAATCAGCCATTCGCACCTTCTACCCTGTTCTCTTCTACACATGCTGTTTGCCATTCTGAGACTCAGAGCTGCCTGTTTCTTTTCTTAGGCACTTTAAACCCAAGAGCTGACACAGCTGTGCTGGTTGGTAAGCTTCTGGGATGCCGTGAGAGCTGGGGACGGGGACTGGCCACTGCAGGCTCCCACATTTAAGGGCAGGGGAGGCCACCAGCTGTAGGAATGGAGACTCGGGAGCCTGACCCCCTAGGTCCCCATGAGGACAAAAATATCACCCATCCACAGACCTGCAAACACCAATAAGCCCTTTACTACAAACAATGGAAAGTTTTGTTACTGATGACACAGTATGCTTTTTCATTACTTTAGAAACATTACACCTGTTGTCACCATGAACTGAAGCCTACATTTCCATGTCACAGAGCCAAATCACCAACCCCTCGTATTTGCATAGAACTTTAAGTCTTTTCAAAGTGCTTGCTGAGACATTCTCTCATCTAAACCTCAAGATTTCTTTTATTGTAAGTGAGATTCATATGTCGTACATATTTTACATATTTTCTGTTCCTTTGCCTTTCCCTCACAAACTAACAGAATCTTCACAGATGTTATGTACATCAGTGTTCTATGAATATAATCCACTGAGTTTTTCATTGTCTGATCATGGTCTGTTCCATTCTCTCTTTCTCTATGCTGTTTTTTGCCTGGCTGGGCTGCGTTATTTTGTTGTTGGTGGTGGTTGGATGGGTGGATTTGTTGTTGTTGTTTTAACCTGTTGTTTTCTGTCTTTACCTGAATAGAATTATTTGGTCTTCCCAGAAACCAAAGAGTCTTCATTTGCACTCATACATTGAGATGTTAAATGTTATTCTTTTATGCTTACTATAGTTTATGTAAGATCGGAAGTGCCTAGTATGGTGTTCTGTGTTTCCCTACACGTTTTCTCCTACGTATTCTCTCCACTAGCTAGGTGAATTGAGCAAGTCATATGGCCTCTCTGAACCTGATGTTCCTCATTAGTTAAGGACGGACAAGATTTACTTGAGAAGTTAACTGCAAATATGAGAGTGGACATATGTGCCCAGCACATTGCCCAGGGCACACGTGAGAAATTGTTATTATTAGAGTAGTCTGTGGTGGTGATTGTGGAAGCAGTCAAATGTGGTAGTCGTGATTAGAACATGCTCTTCAAGGCTGCATTACTGCTATCTAAGAGTGTCTCCTGCTGATGGACCCAAATTCAACTGTCTTGCCTTTTAACATTCAGGTTGTTTGCCATTTTTACCCTTAATAAATAATGTCTAGCTGAATACATTCCTGCATTCAGTTTTATTCTTCTTTTGAATTTAGTATTTGAATGTATTCCCAGGAGTGATATCGCCAAGTGAAGGGATATGTACTTTTGTAAGATTCCCGATAACTAAATATTGCCTGATTGCTTCCCACAAGAAGACCATCAGATTACACTCCCACCAAAATCTAAAGAAAAATTACAGAAGCTTTCTTAGCCTTAGTTGATCTGGTTTCCCGTTTGACTTTTCTTATATAGATTTTCCTTTAAAACTGTACATACAGACACACACATACATGCATGCATATACACACATACTTTTGTGGGGCATGGATCAGTGATGGTACTTAAATATCATTTGCCACCTGATTTTGGTAGGAGCCTGTTGTCCAAAGTTTGAGACGCTTACGTTTGGTGGTACATAACATAATTTCGGTTAGTAGGTAGCCATTGACTGAGATTGGTTTATATACTGAAAGTGATATTCCCCTTTCAATTCTCTTTCAGTCCTCTGATCAGATCAAGGGGAAAGTCTGAGCTTGGTGCTCACAACCCTTTAATGCCCCACTATACCTTTCTTATCTCCCTGTTAAAAATATCTTAGGGGCACCTGGGTGGCACAGTCCATTGAGTGTCAGATTCTTGGTTTCAACTCAGGTCCTGATATCACAGTGGTGAGATCAAGCCCCACATCAGGCTCTGCACTCAGCACGGAGTCTGCTTGAGACTCTCTGCCCCTCCCCCACCTCTCTCAAATAAATAAATAAATCTTTAAAAAAAATAAAAGAAAAGAGGACCTTATTTTTTCCCCTGAGTTTCTAGCTCAAATTGAATACCATCATTTGGTCTCCGGTATGTTTATTTTCATGTTTTCCTACTTTTTATGGAAAGCAATACAGGTACTTCGTTTAAATTATGATACAAAGTTTCCTTTTTTGCACACATTTATGTCATTGAATAGGTAAATTACTGACAGGGCAGAAATCTTGACAGTGCTGTTCTAATAATTGAAGTTTGGAACATATATACAGCATGGATAGTGCATTCCAACAGTTGACCTACTAATAATAACAAATAGTCCTCGAGAAAACATTGACTAGGAGTCCCCATATTGCCAGATATAGTTTGGACCTTTGTGATTGCCCCTTCATCCCTATTCATTTTTGAGCATAAGGACCTTGCAGTTGACCATGAGGAGAGTCACTTTTATATCCAGTGGGTTCTGTGGGTTAGTGATCAGGTGAGTAATCTCCTCACCTGGCAGATTAAGAACGGGAATATACAAGTACTGAAGGATGTATAAATCAAGACTGACACTGTGAATAGAATGATTCAGAAGATGGGATTAAAGAGCTTAATGATAGTCATTGTGAATCACAATGTCAGCTTTAGTATGATTCTAACAATGTACTTGCTAACGCTAATGAGGTTTGATAGAATAAAATTAACAATGTCCAAACAGCTGTATGCTTTCACAACAAAGGAACCATATCTCAGAGCAGACTGATACATTCTTTCCGTGAGGGATTTTTGTCAATTGATATTGTTTTTTTCTCTTTTAGGATATATTTAAATTTGCAAGAACTTCTCCTGTCCCAAGACAAAAGAGGTCCATTGTGGTATCTCCCATTTTAATTCCAGAGAATCAGAGACAACCTTTCCCAAGAGATGTTGGCAAGGTAAGTCAGACAAAAGACAAATGACATAACAAAGGCATATTTTTATTAAGAGGAGAGCATACACAAGGCAAGCTGACTTTGACTGTCTTGGTGGCCACCTGAAATCGGTCTCTATTCCTCTATGATAAGAAGCCATGATGGTTTTGCCAATAAAAGAATGACAAAAATCCATCAAACAACAAAAAAAGTATTTACAAAAAAACAATAATAACCCCTCTGGAGAGCTACATGGCAAATAACAATGCTAAAGTTATGTTTGTAAGATGTCATTTGTTAAGAAATAGACTCATTGCTTTTAAGATCACGTCCAGGCAACCAGTCAGATACTCTACTATACTATACTAGTATAGTAATGTGATGATACATGGCCTTTTTATTTAGATCCTAGTTTTCTTTTCCTTTTTTTATTTTTAAAGATTTGTTTATTTATTCAAGAGAGAGGGAGAGAGTCAGGGGGAGGGGCAGAGGGAGAGGGAGAGAGAGTCTTAAGCAGACTCCACCTGGAGCTCAGAGCCCAATGTGGAGCTTGATCTCATGACCCCAAGATCACAATCTGAGCCAAAACCAAGAGTCAGATGGCCCAAATGATTGCACCACCCAGGCACCCCTAGAACCTAGTTTTCAAAGGTGTAAGTCCAGGAGCACCACGGGGTCAGCTCTCTAAAAACTAAACCAGATCAAAAGAACTAAATCATCCTAACCAGACCCAGAAAACATTGTTGCATGAGTCAGGGCAATAACTTTTCCAGGAAGAAATATTTACTGTTAAGTGGGCAGAAATACTGATGTGCCTGGTCAACACATCCTCTTCCCCTAGAAAAGCCAACATGGAGAATCAAATTTAAACCAGTTGGTATTTTTTGGTCATCACAGAATTTGAACAGTGGTGGTTAGTTCAACAAATGACCTTAATGGCTAGTTCTATTGGACTATTTATTCATTCATTACATAAATAAGGAGCATCTGTTATATGGCAGACTCCAAGATTGGGCCTGGATCACTATTGGTATGAACAGCACAGAAGCCCCAATTGTGATAGACCTTGTATGGTAGTGGGGAGACAGATATTTTGATGAGTAAATAAACAAGAAAATTGCAAAGGATAAGAAATTCTGTGAAGAGCAGAAGCAGCTCTTCAGAAAGAGAGTAAATGGCCAGACCAGGGAGCAGATGGACAGAAGTGTTCACACAAGTGGCTGGGAATGCTGGTTGGAGACCCTGGTGTTTGATTGGAGACTGGAAAGATGAGAAAGAGACATCCATGGGAAGATCTGGGGAGGCTGCATTCTTAGCAGAGGGCACTGCATATGCAAAGGTCTGCAGGTGGGAAAGAGTGAGGCATAGTTGGGGAGGAAAATGTCTGAATGACTGCAATGAGGCAAGCAAGGAAGAGAGTGTTAAGAGCTGAAGTCAGAGAAGCTGGCCTGTCGTAGGGCCTCCAGAGACCATGGTGAGTGGGAATTTCATTGTGTACACATCAAGGAACCACTGGAAGTTCACCCCGTATGTGTGCTGAAAGACCCCCAGGCAGCCTCATAGGGAATGATTTGTGGGAGCAGAGTGGTCAGGAGAAGTGGACACAGAAAGATCTGCCAAGAGGGGTGTTTTAGGGTGACCTGGACCTGAAGTGAGGGTAACTTGCACTATTAGAAATCTATTCCTGTTGGAAATTAAAGGCATTAATAATCCAAAGTCCTAGTAATCACCATATTTGTGATTTTAAACTATCACTGTGCCAAAGACACCTTTCTTTAAGCAAAATCTTGCCAGGAGTCCAGGACATGATGCAGAAGGAACCAGAGCTGTTCCAAGCGGACAGCAGTGGAGTTGATGAGCCCTGCCTTTGGACAGCCCTAACACTGTGATGGCCCTTGTATAGGTGTCCCTGAAGCCACGGGTGGCATTCACCAAGGGCCAGATTCCTCAAGTCTGCAAGGCTCTGCCCCCACACAGTTTCAGAGACCAAGTTGCATCTTGCTCTTTAGACCTTTATGTAAGCCTGGTGTTCTCAACCCTCATTGTACATCAGAGTTGCCTAGGGCAGTTAAAATACAGTTGCCAGGCTCCACCTTCCAAGATCAATTCAGTTGGTCAAGGAGTGAGAACAAAGCAAACAAAGCATCAGTATTTTTTTTTTTTTTTAATCCCATATGATTCTGATGGGCAACCAGGGTTGAAAACCACTGGCCTAAACCAGTCCTACTTTAAGAGGAGCTATGGACCAGCAGCATCAGCACCACCTGGTTGTGAATAGGTTTTGCTGTATGTCTTTTTATGCCTTTGAAAGAACTTTTTTCCTCTTTGTGCCTGCTTGGTTTTATTCATTCATCTTATCCTTTCCTTTATATCCTATGCCTTACCTTCATCAACTCCACTAATAGCTAACAAGTGATGCTCTGCTGAACTGTGAGAGAGTATATGGGTGTCTTCAGAGAGTGCTGGGGAGGTGGGGAGAAAGGATACATATCCCACCCACCCACCCAAACTCTCTGAGTCAGGCAGCTCTAATTTTATAAATATCACATGTCAGACTTTAGTGTAGGATGCCATTTGAAGTAGAGAGACTCTGTGTTTATGAAAGCATAAAGATACTTGTCTCACTTTGGTTTCCCCCAGAAGCTGACCCTGAGACAAGAATTCTAAGGCAAGTAGTTTATTTAGGAGATGAAGAGAATACTCGTAAGGGAGTGAGGAAGTGAGACAGGGAAAGAAAGCAGCCAGTTGAGAGGCCTGTTTATCAAGGCAACTATGGCTGTATGTTGGTGACTGCATTGTAATCCCAAGGGGAAATGCTAGGAAATGGTATAAAGCACACTCTGCAGGGGAGGGAGCTGGGGTATTTATACCCCAACCCATCCGTCTTTGGTTGAGGGTCTTTCCCAAAGGTGTAAACTCTCCAGCACATCCAGCCTTCTCTGTGCTCTGGCTCCAGCACAAGGGCCTTCTGAGGCCGGGGGGAGACAGCTGGAAGTCTGCTGGTGTGCCCTGAAAAGGTGAGATCCAAGGGAGGGGACAGGGCACTGATGGATTCTGTTCCATCACTGAACTTAATATAAATACTTATGCTTTACAGGCCAGGTTTTCCTTGTCTCATCTTCTGCTCCCATTTCATTTTCTGAACTAACTTTCTTGTCTCATCCCTTTGAAGCTGACTGTACTTGCTTCTTTCCATTAATAAATACTCGCAGCATCCCAGGCAGGAAAATCTCTGAAATTCATGCCAATTCACATCAATAAGCACATATTCAGCATCTGCTATTTATAAGGCACTGCGTGAGGGGCTGGAGAGTTAATGACAAAAGGCAATAGACGGGGTCCTTAATCTCACAGGATTACAGAAGAGTAGAAAAAATCATCACAAATGCATTATTTGTCCAATACTATAAAGTATAAGCATCTTTCATCTCTTATGTTGAATTCTCATAATAGCAACCCCATGAGGATCATCTTCCAAAGTGCCACCTGAGAGTAATGAGACTCAGAGGGATAGTCACCTGTCTGGAGTCACAGTCAGTTAGTAGCAGAGATGAGCTCCATGCCAGCTCTTTGAGATTTCACAGTCTCTGCTCTTAACTAGTATGCTCAGTGCTACTAAGTACAATTTGAGAATTTTCTTTCATGGAATGAAATGTCTTTGCTAACAATTACTCTCTTTAAAACAGCATTAAAATTAAATTTAATTGTTTGAAGTGCACACATACACACACAAAATAGGATGGATAGAGGGCTGGGTGAATGGATAGATATATGATAAAACAAGTATAGTAAAATGTTAATGGTAGAATCTAGGTGGTGGGCATAAGGTTGATCACTGAACACTTGTTTCAACTTTTCCTCCATTTGTAAATTTCATGATACAATGTTGGAAAAAAATTAAGCTTAACCAAATACAAAATTATCACAAAACACACAGGAATTGGCATGTCAGCACAAAAATATTTTTTGTTTGTTTATCTTGAACTTCAAGAGGATGGGTGGAGACTTAAGTATCTATTTCTTTATTTTCTTTTTCTTTTTTTGCCATATTTTATCACAATCTGAATCCCTTTAAAGAAAGGAGACTCATATACTACAGGGTCAAGGCATCAAAGGGTGCTGCAGCTAATCCACTCTCGGGGTGGGGGGTGTTCTCAGTTGAGGCTGTGCTATGTAGAATTGTATATTGACAGAAAGGCCATGCAGGGCAGCTCTAGGGATCAGACAGAGTTTTGGCTGATGCATAATTTGTCTTCCAAATAATTAATTAGTTGGTAAGTGGCTAAATTACTGGAATTAGGGGACTGCTTTTCCATCATCTCTCTCAATGTTTCTGAAAAATGGGCTAAAGACCCAATTGTGAACACATTCCCTCAAACCTGTGATTTCCTTCTTGTTTCTGAATTCTAGATGGCAGCGAGGATCTGGGGGCTTGTGCCCTAAAGAGAAATGTGTAGTTCCCAACATGTGATTTTTCCCTCCCCCTTCAAAGTATGACTATTTCAAAATTTGGGCCATAAATAATTTCTTAGTTTTACCAACTTTCACTGATAAATATTTGATTGCATCTTTAGAGATTTTTGAGTTCTTGGGCCTGCTTGATTGAGAGCAGGGGACTTTAAATCTGTGAGGCAGCAAGGAGGTCTTTGGGAGACGTATTTTATTCTGTTTTATATTAAGTTTGAAAGACAAGTCATTTATGAAATGCTTATTAGAGATTCTACTTTCATCATAAACCCTTTTCATCAAAACCAATGAAAGTACATTTTACTGAAAATCCTTTTTTTATATCCCCTATAAATTGGTAGAATGGGCCTTTAGAAGGACATCTTTAACCCAGGATGGAAGAAATATGTAATTGAACCATGTGCTTTTCGTAAAGGGAATCAACGTAGATCATTAGACCAAATCATGAAAACCACTCAATCAGGACTCTGCTTTGATTGTGTCATGAATACATGAGGATAATTTATGGCAGTTCCTAAATACTCCTCAGACTTCTAAGCATATGGTTTATTAGGGAT